CAGCAGGCAGCATTTGGCTGCGGCTGGCAGAGGCCCCGGCACCGCTGCCGAGGACAGCAGGCAGCACTTAGTGGTCAGCGTGTTTCTAGCAATAGCTGCTGCTCTTGGGCAGGATGACGGGAGGGGGTGACATGTAATAGAGCTGCGCTAATTCAGGCGGTGCTGCTGCGTGCTGGCCAGGGGAGAAAGGGGTCGAAAACGGCTCTGGAGGAGGGCAAAGCTGGGCAGAGCTGCTCATTGTCCCTGAGGATGTGGGACCAGAGGCGAGGGCCGGACCACATGCCTGCTGCGCTGCACCACCCCAGGCTGTGTCTGAGTGGGCATGGGGTGTTCGTGGCAGGAGCTGTACTGCAGGACGGTGCCCCGGGCCCGGCCGGGCTGCGGGCTTGGGGATTATGGGGATCCCGCTCTCCTCCTGCGTTCTCGTTGTAGGTGGTTAAAGAGATGGACAACGAGAAGAGGATCCGGCTGTTGCAGTTTGTGACGGGGACCTGTCGTCTGCCCGTCGGGGGGTTCGCGGAGCTCATTGGTGCGTGTTCCCAGGCGCTCGGCTCGGGTAGGGGGTCCCGGGGAAGCGAGTGCGGGCAGCGGCTGTCGGGGAGGGCCGGCGGGTGGGACCTGGCTGTCTGTGTCTCCACCGCAGCGTGCAAGGCAGCCCGCAGCACGTAAATGGTGAAGCAGCCGCAACGTCTGAGCACAGCGAGTAATCCGGTGGCGTGCCATACCCAGACAAATTCCTTAGCTGTGAACTGTGCCACCACAGTTAACTTTGTCAGTCCAGCTTGTAATCTCATTTTGAATGAGATTTGATTTTTGATTTAATTTTGATTTTTGTGCGATGAAACCCCTTTTCCAGAAAACCACAGCGTGGCATTATTCTGCTGTCATCCTTTAATTTGCTACTTTTTGGGGCCTGTACCAGCCTTTCCCTTGCTTTCCTGGAATCAGTGTCAAGCGAACCAGCTAGCTTAGACCACTCGTTTATTCTTGCTGGTCTATTAGCTTTTTTCCAGCCCGCTGGAACCTCTCCAGCATTCAGTCTGTTAAAAAGCGACCTCAGTGACTCAGACTTCCTGAGCCAGGTCCTTTAAAACTCTCAGATGGACCCACTCAGTCCTGCAGGTCTACGGATAAATATGTTTTAGCACTTGCTATTTAACCATCCTGCTTAGGAGCCATGGCGTTGTCTCTCTGTGCTGTGAACATGCTTTTCAGCTTTCTCCTTTCTTGTTTTTTGTACGTCCTCTCTGCAAAGGGGTCAGAACGGGCAGTGAGTGCTGCTACGGATTTATGCCCCGGTGTCTCTAGGATCACAAGGGCGTGTGACGGTGCGATCTGCTGGCTAACAGTGTGTCGGAGGATTTTCTTTTTCAGCTCCTGGTCATGTAATGAGATTTACTGTGTTCATAATTAACAGGCAGCAACGGGCCCCAGAAATTCTGCATCGATAAAGTTGGCAAAGAGACATGGCTGCCTCGGAGCCATACATGGTAAGTCATTTCTCCTTGGCCCCGTTAGGAGCACATGGGGACAACCGCTGGCTGTCTCTGCGGGGCTGTGTGGGGCCCCGGGCATCCTCCATCCCCTCCGCCTGCGTTCCTGTGGGACGTAGCTGCTGTTCCTGGCCGTGCATCTTACCGCAGCTGCTGTGCGTGGCTAAGGCCAGAGGGGACCCTGACGTGGGGAGTAGAATTGGGATTGCAGCGCTATTCACAGCCTCTGCTGTCTCTCCAGCTTTAACCGTCTGGATCTCCCTCCCTACAAGAGCTACGAACAGCTGAAGGAGAAGCTGCTTTATGCGATTGAGGAGACGGAAGGATTTGGACAGGAGTGATGGAGCTTTGGTGCTTTCCCAGGGTGGGGAGGGCCCTGGACCGCTGCCGGCCATGAGGTCCTGCCTGCCGGTGCTGGCAGAGCCCAGCGCCAAGCCCTCTCCGCAGGATGGTGCGCGGGCAGCTGCGGACGCTGTTGCTCTTGTTCCTGCGCAAGACCTGCACTAACGCAGCCCTGGGGGAAACGGGTCTGTGTTTCCCTCCCCAAATTGGAGGTGTGGCAGGGAGGTGGATGCAGAAGCCTGGTGCTGCTCAGCTTGTGAGGGGCAGGGGCTGGCGCAGAGGGGAGGGGTGAAGCCCTGGGCCTTGGCAGGCAGCATGCGGTACACCCAGGCTCCGCCGTCCCCCCCTCGCGGGCACAGTTAAATGAGATCTGGTTTTGACAAAGGCTGTTTTTTCCCCTTAGCGTTTTCTGCCTTTTCACGGCGCTTTAATATGTATGGGTGAGGAAGGGAAACAAAATGGTTCTCAAACTGACTCTCGGGTCGCATTTGGTACCGATCCTGCACCCAGCAAAGGTAATGGGGAACCCTCAACCAATGCTGTTGGGGCCGATGCACCACATGAGGGCCAGAACAGCCCCTTCCCACACCAGACCCATGGCCTCCTGCACCCAGAGCCTGGCCAACCGTGTCCGTTGCGTGTTTTGATTTGCAAGCGTGTGCCCCCTGTGCTCTTGTATTTAATATTTAAGTGGTGTTGCTTGGAGCTGGTGCTCCGCAGCAGCCCTGGGGGCTCTAGTCACAGTCAGGGCACATCTGGCCTCTGCTTGGTTTGTGGGTTTGGCCCAAACTCTCCTCTGTCGCCGGCAGGAGCTCCCGGAGGTGTGGGTGAGGGCAGGATCAGGCCTCTGCCCCTCACCTGGATGCCACCTCCGCTGCTGCCCCCTCTCAGCATGCAGCGGGGAGACGAACCCGTGTGAGCATTGGTGTACATAGCTGTACATAAAGGAAGTCTATGGATACAAGACATTGCAATAGCTTTTGACTGGTAACCAGATAGTTTTGTACTGCACCATCCTGCCTCAGCGATGCCCACTTCTTGTGCAATAAATGATAAGCAGCTGCCGAAGTGCGTGTCCCTGGTCGGTGTGTCACACCGGGGGGGGGGACAGCCCGGTGCAGCGCAGGGACACAGCTGAAGGGCTGTGATGGGCACCTGGCTCATCAGCGGGGTCACAAATAATACGTATTTTTTTTCTGTGCACACACCGCCCAGGAGAGTCAGGCTGGGCGCAGCACTCCTGCCTTTGCCCAACCTATAATCACACTCAGCTAAAAATGCCTCCAGGATGCTTTGCCAGAGCTGGAGCTGCCTCCCTATGCCACCCTGTGAAACCCAGAGCAGCATTGGTGGAACAAAATCAGGTGAACAAGGCCAATGGCCATAGGCTGGTGGCGTTTAGTAAAAAAGTCCAACGCAAGCAGAACTAAACAAACCCACTATTCATATCACTGCGGGACAGTCTCCATCCAGTAATTTTGCCATGACTTTGCTTTTCAGCAGCTGCCTTGGCTGGTTGGTTCTTTGGGTGGGTTTGTTTTGTTTTTTTTTTTTTTTTTAATAGTGCCAAGTGTGGCACAGCTGGTGCCAGCCCAATCCCAGAAGGAATGTGTCCATGGCTGTGGCAGGCTCCTGGCACCAGTGTACTGACACAGTGCTCGTGTCCACCTGGCCCCCTGGGTGTTGCTCACCCAGCCTGGGAGGTGGCAGGGGAATTGGTGGTGTCTTCAGCCTGGGAGAGGCATGTCCCCCTCTATCCCATCTTTGGGGGTCATCCTGGTCCCCTTTGGCCCAGGAGAGCAGAGAGCAGCGACCTGCACTCCCCATCCCTGTTGTCCTGGTGTGGGACAGTGACGTGATGCAGGATGGCAGGTCAGAGGTGTGGCTGCCCTGGAGATGCTGCGCAAGGGAGGCTCCCTGGCACTTCCCCAGTGCCAGCCCAGCACAAGAGGCCAGCCTGTTTTGCTGCCACCACAAATGTGTTAACCACAAAGCCTGAAGAGGGAGAGGCGTGGGCTGGCAGGGGGCTCTGTGCCTCCCCAGGCAGGCAGCAAAGCTGGTTCCTGCACTGGCCCAGAGCTGCGGAAGCTTCAACAGCAGCGATGTGGCACCTGCACAACACCAACGCGGAACGAGGTGCCCAGGGATTGTGCAAATAGGAGCCAGATTAAATATACAGATGTCTACGTTGCATGAAATTGGCTAACTGTAATGAATTAGTCCTGAAAAATGCAAATACATACACACACTGCAAGCCTAATATGGTAATGACCTGATGTCTTATGGGAGGATGATGTTCTTCAAAGCACGGTAACGCCACACACCTTTCCTCCTCACCTTCCCCTCTGTGTTTCCACCCCTGCAGAGTATCACATGAGCCAGGAGTATAGTTTTCACCTATTTTCTCTTTTTTTACAGTGTCAGGTAACAAAACAGCCAACCCTGATCTTGTCACTGGCCAGCTAAGACCCAAACTGCCAGGCCTGCCCCGCAGTAGCTGGCTGCTTGTTGCGACAGCTGCCATTTTGAGATCTATTCAGCCACGTTCTAATGAAAACAAAAAGCAGATACCAAAGTAGGAAGAAGCAGAGCATTGACCATTTCAACAAGAGAAAAGAACCTAGCATCAAAGTGATTTAGTTTACAAGATTTTTAATTTACAAATAAAAAAACCTACACATTTTACTTTTTCTCCTTTTTCTCCTCTTTCTTGACATCACTCTTCTCCTTGTCTTTCTCCTTCTCATCTTTTCTCTCCTTTTTACTTTCTTCTTTTTCCTGTCCTTCTTTCTTCTCTGCATCCCTGTTGGCAATCTTGTTGTTAATGAGGTTGTGCAGGGCAACCACGGAACGGATAAGAGAAGCCAGATAAACTACCACCATCTGGTCGTTGGTCTTCAGATAAAAGGCCTTGACAAACTCTTGCAGGTTGACGTCTGGTAGCAGGTTGAAGACATCCTGAAGATGGTAGATGATCTGGTGATTGATGGGGAGTTTGCCCATGGCTACTTTCTCTAGGTAGCTCCTGATGTCCAGAAGCTTGGAGTTCAGTCCCTTCAAGCCATGGACCTGATTTGTGATCCGCTGGGACAGAGTGCCCACCGTTGTATCCTTGATATCTCTGAAACACCCACAACAGAAAGAATCAGCATTAGAACCTTACTTTGCGCTCTCACTAAGAGGTGGGAATATTCACTTAAGAGTTCTTTCCAGCTTAAAAAGAAAAGCAGATTGAAGCACAGCTGAAGTACAATTCAAACAAACATTTCAAGTCAAAGAATGCAAACGAACTGATGTACATTACAAAGTATATCTAAAATAGATCACTGTTGTATCCTGTGGTGTGTGTATGTTCTTTTTGGAATAATACTTGTAACACCAGTTTGAGGGCTAGAGAGAAATAAAACAGGATTGCTGACTGGTGAAAAGGCGACATGGTTTGTATGGGGTGACTGCTCTTTTTTTTGACTGGAAAGCTACAGACCCATCAGCAACACTCCCGTGCAGTCCTGCTCTGTGAGGTACACAGCGGCTGGAGACAGCTCCAAACGATGCAGCTTTGACAGAACGAATATGAAGTTTTCATCATCTCATCAGTGGGCAGTCACACTTTTCATGAGCAATAAGTGAATACGCCACGCAAGACTGCTAAATGAATATGCTCTTAGAATTTAAGTAGCATGTTTAACAAGATCCGCATTTCCCCTGGGAAGCTGGCCCTGGGAGGTGCCAGATGGATCGCATTCACTGCTAGGCGAGTCTTACAAGAACGCTTTCATGTTAAAGATGCTTACCGTAGCAAGTGTTCAACACCGACTTCCTCTGCCTCCTCTGCTCCGATCTCACTGGTCACATGCTCAAACGTCTTGGAGGTCGGAGTGCCATCCTTGGAGGTGCAAGGATACAGGAGACACGGTCAGACTGAGCACACAGTTGACTGCAGGTGCAAAGCTGCGTGCCAACTAGCCAGAACAGCTGTCTCACAAGCCAACAGTGGGGCAACTCACACAGTGTCACAGCTAAGATTAACTGATGCCCATTTACAGGATCAGGAAGAGGCAATGGGGCAAATTACAGCAAAACAGAGTATCAGGGGACCAAAGTACATAGCTAAGCGGAGAAGTTTGTAAGTGAATCACAATGCCTTTTAAAAACGTAGAATTCTAAATAGAGCATGAGAAACTAACTGTATTAACGAAATGAGCAAAGTAGTTATAAACAGTCCACAAGGAATCAGAGAGGAAAGAGTTTAGTTGGATTTCTCTTGATTTAATTAGTGGTACCAACTGTCACAAGCCCAGAGTTGCTAGCAATTTCTTCTTCCTTGTGCTCTGTGTACTTTTCAATTAATGTATTTTGCTCGTCTGTGTACTGGTGGGCAGAATAGAAAGTCTCACTAAATATAATTCTTTCTTTCCTGATACAACCTTACTATGCTTAAGATACCTTTTGCCATCCTGATATTTGCTCTCAGCCAGTTCGAAGCATACATGCAGATCCAGAAAAAAAAACACTCAACAACCACCTACTATGAAACAATCATATTAAAATTACAATTTAGACACTGGTGATTAAGGAAGATATTTGAAAGATTCACAGGCTGAATTTCTGAGAATGAATTTTACTGAGGTGTTTTCAAAACCACTACCTGGACCAGTGTACAGCTGTAAATAGAAAGCAGCACTGGAACTACTGTGAATTCACAAAACTAAGAACAAATCCTGCAGATACAAGATCTAGAATACTGGGAGCAGCTTCTTCCCTGTAGCGAGGGCCTCAGAAAGGCAAAAGGATCAATTTTTTTATATACATCCAGAATGTAATTTAAATCAAACAATTGCAAATGAAAAGCTAAAGCTGCCTTACTACTGTATGTTGTTTGTCTGCAAGTGATTAGTAAGCGTTGCTCACGCCTGACCTACCTACTCAGCACTGGCAGGTGCACAAATGAATAAGCATGCAATTATGCAGAACACCTCTGCAAACAGGCTGACGTGTAAAAGTGACATCTTAAAAGTGTTCCAATCTGTGACTTTCTTCATTGCCACAGACATGACAGAAACAGATAAGAAGCATTTAAATCAGACAACTGGAGCTGTGAAATTCCTTAGGTCAAACAGAAATGCACAGCTTTTCTTCCAAGAGCATCGGTGGATGAAAGCTTTAGTTACAAAGGCTTACATTACGACTGGGATTTAAACTCCG